AAGTCGGACGCCCAACCGACTGCGCCACCCAGGCGCCCCTTTCCCTGCTTTTTTAAGGCTGAATAGTATTCCCGTGTCATCACATCCTTGCCAGCACTTGTTATTTTCTGTCTCTCTCTCTCTCTTTTTTTTTTTTTTTGTAGTAGCCATCCTAATGGGTGTGGGGCTGTACCTTGCATTTCCTTCTGGGTCCTGTCTGAGATGCTGCTTCCGCTGGGGACCCTGGCCGCTTCTCCCGAGGTACATACTTACGCTGCCTGGAACAGGCCTGGCCCAGGCAGGAGAAAAGTCAAGGAGCACATGACAAGTCAGCTAAAGTAGCAAGTGTAGACCCTAGCATGGGCCCAAGTGGTGGGCATTTGGGACGGTGAACATCTGGCAGGGTGCTCTGAGTCGTCAGCTGACAGATGACACTGTCACACAGTGGCTTCCTTCCCATCGGCAGTAGAAGCTGGCAAGGCTGAATTCTTCCCTCCTTGGCTGGCTGGTTGGAGGGATAACCCTGCCAGGGCTTTAGGGGACGGAACATGAAGATGCTTCCATCAGGGAGGTAGGGCCTGCACACCTTGTGTCCCTGTCCTGTCCTGGCCCCACATGGGGGGCAGCGCACGAGGTGTCCTGCCCAGGCCTGAGGCTGCTGGGCCAGCAGCATTGTGTTTCAGTCCTGGAGGTCAGCCTTCTTTGGGGCTTTTTGTTTCCTGTGTCTCGACCACAGCCCTCCGGTGGGTTTCCAGTGTTGACTCATTGGCAGGCAGACCTGGTTTTATGAATGGGAGAACTGAGCGGGCTGTGCTGGAGAGAGGAAGGACCACAAATTTTAGCAAACCCCCAATGCACTCTGCAAAAGTCTCTAATGACGTGCTCCTCAGCCCTGCCTTGAAAATCAGGGCTGCTTCTCCCAGAAAGCATATTACAGGCCTTTTAGGGGGCAGAGGACATCTGCTTCAGCCCTCGGGCCCTGCTGGCTGGCCAGCCTCACTCCCTTCCTCACAGGCTTCCCCTTCTAGGCGGCACGCCTCTGGTCACAGGGGTGGGAGCATTTGGATGTCAGGGAAAGTTCTGGCCTTTCTGATCAAAGGAACAATCCCTGTGGTCTCCACCCTGTTGACGCCCTCTCTTCCTGCTTCGCACGGGGACACAAATCCTGGAATGGAGTGTGTTTGTTTGCTAGAGCTGACACAACGAAGTACCACAAAGTGCTGGCTTACACAACAGAAAGTATCTCCTGGTGCTAGAGGCTGGAAGTCCTAGATCGAGGTGTCAGTCGGGTTAAGTCCTTTTGCAGGCTGCAAGGAAAGGGTCTGTTCCAAGCCGTTCTTCTTGGTTTGTAGATGCCCATCTTCTGTGTCTTCTCACTGTCTTTCCTGTGTTTCTCTCTGTCCAAACTTCCCCTTTTTATAAAAGCATCAATCCTTTAGGATTAGAGCCCACCCTAATGATCTCATCTTAACTAATTACAGCTGCCATGACCCTATTTCCAAGTAAGATCTCATTCTGAGGTCCTGGGGGTTAGGACTTCAACATGTGAAAATTTGGGGAATACAACTCAGCTCACAACACCGAGGCCTTCAGTTTGCAATCTTGAGGAACGAGCAATGACAATTAAAGACCAATATGCTGAGGACGACCTGGTGAGCAGGACAGTCCTGGGTCATCAATGACATGGCTGAGCGGTGAGTCTGTGCCAGAACTACCTGCTCTGGATTTGTGTGATTGGGGTGGGGCGGGGGACTTTAGTGGCTTCGACCACGGTGAGTCAAGTTTTCTGGATCTTGAGGTCCTGCCAATACAGTCAGGGAGGCTTCCGGCATCCTGAATGCTGGGGTCTTGGTCTTGGCAATGGCTGTGCTCCGTAATGGTAATACTGGGGTTTCCATACTTCCACATTTACGTGAAAATAGGACAGTAGAGATTTAAATTTAGAATCTTAAAGTAAGCAACTCCCAGCCAATTAAATACCAACCCCATTAGCAGATATTTGTTATTTTTTGAACGCTCAGCTTCCATCCATCTCCTCTGAGTAAAAGCACTTGATAACTTTGGGGCAATTTCCTGTCTCCGCTGTGGTTAGTCTTGGTGGGGTTGAAAGTTCAAGGTGCCTGCCGAGATCTCCCCAGGTCAAGAGCAGACGTGAGACCCAGGCCAGGCCCTTTGTACTGTTTCTTCTAAAGTGATGCCGGGATGGAAATGTGCTCGGACGTTCTTTCCAGCGGCAGAGCTGTCTGCTCACTCTTGCCCAGGCTGGGACTTCACCATTCACCTGGAGTCTGCAAGGGCTCCATTTTCCTTTTAATACTCATCTATTTCAGCTGAATTTGCCCAGTTTCTGTTTCTGTTGTGCATGGCCAAAGAACCCTAATTGATTTTGGGTTGTGTCGTAATTCCACACACTAATAAAAGATGTTCACTGATATTTGGAGTATTCAGAAAATACAGTATTTTCCCCTTATCCATGAGGGATACATTCCAAGACCCCCAGTGGATGGCTGAAAACTGTGGGTGGTAATATCGAACCCTGTCCATACTATGTTTAACCTATGATAAAGCTTACTTTATAAATCAGATGCAGGAAGAGATTAACAACAATACAATAGTATACAATAGTAAATAGAACAATTATCACAATACAATAGTATACAATAATAAGTAGAACAATTATCACAATATACTATAATAGAAGTTATGTGAATGTGGTCTCTCTCTCTCAAAATCTGACTGTACTGTACTTACCTTTCTCGTGACGATGTGAGATGATAAAATGTCTATGTGAGGAGATGGCAGGGAGTGAATGACGTGGGCACCGTGAAGTAGGGTTAGGCTATTACTGACCTTCTGACTGTATGTCAGAAAGAAGGACCATACATGCTTCCAGACCGTGGTTGACTGCAGGTGACTGAAATCGCAAAAAAGCAAAACCATGGATAAGGGGGAGCTACTGTAACCACATTTCTCCTGCCTTGGGAAGAAGAGAGGCCTTTATTCAGATAACTTCTTCAATTCTGATTTGATTTCCCTGGCTTCAGATGGGGCAGTCATAAATTCGGTTTCACCCTCCACCTCTCCCTCTCGTCTCCCGATGTCCAGTGGAGCCAGCACAGCGGCTGACAACCGAAAGTGTTTCCTTGGGTTGGTTCCATACCTGTTATGGCAGTGGGGACTGCAGGTGCCTGCCTCGCTGGGTTTTAGGGTCTGTAGTTTTAAAACTTCTTCTCATGCTTGCATTCACTGTTATCATTGCCCCATCTAGAAAGAAGAAAAATAATATTAGTGGACCCAACTGACCAACTGGTCAAGCACATACTGGGTGCAAAAGATGTCTTTAAATGTCAGTAAGACACTTGGCTTTGAAAGCGAACTGTCTTACTGACATTTAAAGACACACACACACACACATATATATATATATATAATATATGCCTATATAACGTATGCATATATATATGTGTATATATATACTATATATGTCACAATTATATATTATATAATT